AGCCCATCTTTGGCGGACTTCGGAGCCATTTTGGACCATCTTGGAGGCCATCTTGGGCCAACGTGGCCATCTTGGAGACCATCTTGAGCCGTCTTAGAGGGTTTTTCCCTGGATGGAGCTCCTGGGCAATCCTCCCGGGACCCCGGCGGGACGCGCCGGAACCCCAGGGGGAGTTCTTTTGGAAAAGAACCAGAACCAAAACAGAACTCATCTAGCACGCCAGGCACCCCTGTGATGGATCAACAGGGGGCGGCGGATCTAATGACCTTAGGCCCACCCCGCCACCGCGCCTGGGTTGTGGGTAGAAAGCCTGCTGGATGTTCGTTGGGATCTCGGGATCTCGTGAGAGGGCTCTCGGGGGCCTCTGGGAGACAGTTTGGACGCCTTTGGGGAGCTTTTTCGGGGGCCTCTTGGGGCAGGTTTAGTCCCAGACATGCGACGTCCTGAGTTTTTTCAGGACGGCGTCCCTGGAAGTCCCGACCCTTTCCCCAAGACGTTTTTGTTCGTCCTGAATCATTTTTTGACGGCCCCGAGGCCCGTCGAGGGCCCCCCCGGGGCCGAAAATAGCCCCAAAACCTCCCGTCCTGATTTTTTCACGACGCGATCATGTCTGGGGCTTAATGGGCCCCCGAAACGGCAGGGCTGTTTTTTACCGCATCCGAAAAAGTGTCTCTTCTTGAATGGCAAAAACATGCGACCAGAAACGGCAAAAAGAGGCCCCAGGGTTGGCACCAGGACCGGAACCAGTAAAATAACGGCGACGGAACCCGTGCAAAAGCGGCGGCGGAGCCGGCAAAAACACGGCCACGGAACCGGCAAAAAGACGGCGTCGGAATCGGCAAACAGACGGCAAAACGGAACCGGTGCAAACAAAACGGCCCTGTCGCTTCCACGGCCTGCCGAGGTCTGGGCTGGGGTCTCGGCCGGCGCCCTCCTCCATGCCGAGCCGTCCCCGCCCGGGGGGCCGGCTGGGTCTGCCGGGTTTCTGTTCGCCCCGTGCCTGCCCGTCGCTGCCGCGTCGCCTCCGTGTGTGCACGGGGCTGGGTCTCTCCTGTGGGTTTGGCAGGCGCCCGCCCGTCGGCGCTCCGCAGCTTGCGGCAAGTCGGGCAGGTCCCTCTACAGGAGGAATATTCAAAAGAATAGTTCAACATGGTTAGGGGCGATTTTTCTTGAGATTAAAGCATTGGGATGTTTTTGAGCATTTGTTTGATTTTTAATTTTTCGTCCAAAATCCGTCTGTAAGTAGGAGGTGCCCGACCTAAAGTTTGCGCACCATCGATATTCGTATCATGGCGGAGCCAACATCGCAGAGCGGATTTCGCTCGGAAAACACTGGGATGGGCACGAATTGTCTTGGATAATTTCGCTACGGATCTCTAAGTGCATTTCGTGCTGACGTTTCTTTGGCCAGGAATGAAGATTACACAAAATCCACGTGAACTTCACTTCTTTCTTCGCTCGCCGCTTCGGGGTGTTGCATTGGCAGACATCCACGCCAGTATCCGCTGCAGCACGTCTGCAAGGTCGGTGCAGTGACTCGCAGAGTGCACCACTCGGGCCGCGCCACATACCTTCATCTTCCTACTAGAAAGGTAGTTGGGCTCATCCCCCCTCGAGGTCAGGGTCATCCGTTCGCCACTTCGCATTACGATTTGCAGGTGTCTCTGCCTCACCTGTCACTCTCCGCGTGGGATCATTCTATCCCAGGTCATCTTGGTGTCGACCCCCATTACCTTGTTCAAATAATTCCATTCGGTGCACGGGCTTTGACCTAGGAAAGTCTTCTGCCGATGTTTACATTACTATCGCGGGACACATGCGTGCACGTCGAGCACCATCCAGCAACAGTTGTTCGACGAGCTCAAACAATCAGCCGTGGTTAGTCAAAACAACGTTGTATCGATGGCTTCTTCAATGCAAAAGCTGCCAGGTTCCTCCGCGCGCAGCCGGTGGGAAACTTACGAAAACAGTGATGTTTAGAGAGTTGCGCGCGCATGCCGACAACGTTCAATCACCAGCGCGCCCACCAACTGTGTCAAACAATGCAATGTGGGCCACGCGCGCGCATCCGCCGTGCGCGCATCGAATTTGCTATTCGATATGTTTTCCCATGTTTTCAGCGCAGAAGTGTTCAACATACGTACCCCAATTGCTTTCAAATGGAACACGGCAGGATGTCAGCATTCCTGCGGCCGCGCACTTGTGCACCGCCCTCATCTGCACAATCGTTGCCATCCTCGTTCCTCGTTCGCGTCCTCGGTGTCACCGTCAGCATCACCTTCATCATCATCACCCTCTTCGGGATCACCACCGCCGCCCTCGTCGTGCTCATCGTCGATGACGTCGCCCGCGTCAAGTTTCTGCGCGTGCGCTTGCCGCCAAAAGTATGACCAGAACCATCTTCAGCATCATCGCCACCGGAATCATTGTTTCACCGTTATCGCCACCATCACTAGAATCACCGTCGTCGTCGGCGTCTTTTCCACCGTCGTCATAAGCATCATATCCGTGATCGTCTTCGCTGTTGTCGCCGGCCAAAATTGGGTTTGTCAATCAGTTGCGGGTTGGTGGGTGGGATAGTTGCGCGAGCAGTGGGGCTGACGATTCTAATCTAGTGGACGTCGGCCCATCCCACAACCGTGCTTGAGTTGTCTGTCGGGACTCCGTTGGATGCTTGTAAGGATCTATTGGGAGACCTCTCGGAAGCGGCTTTGGGAGTGTTTTGGGGCGTCTCGGCGGCCTTTGCGGGGCCTTTTGGGGTTTGATTTGGGCCTCTCGGGGCCTCTTGGGGGCTTCTTGGGAGCACATCGGGGGCCTCGGGGGGATCTTGGGACGACCTTGGGGCGGAGGGTTCAAAATGTCAGTTCGTGTTTCCTTTTGCGGGCCCCTCTTGGTGCTGTTGGGGGCCTCTTGGGCCCCTCTTGGTCCCTTGGGGGCTCTTGGGCAGTTCTTAGGCAATCTCAGGCGCCTCTTGGGCTGTTCTGGGCGCCTGAAAGATCGAAAAAGGTGGTGATGCTAAAGCCAACCGAATCAATGTGTTTTGACGATCTGGGCCTTTTGGGCTGCCGTTCAAGGCCCCCAAAACGGCCCAGGAGGCGCCCAATAGCGTTTCAGGACGCATGTTTGGCCACGCTGGGTTTTCGCAAAAGTAGCACGAGCAACCGAGGAAATCCCAGGAGCACCCGGAGTGCCGGGTTGTGGCACCCTCATGAACTACTTGCAATGAGAGCTCGAGTAGACTCGAGGACGCTCCAATTCGTGCCTTCGGGCACGGTGGCGGGTATTGACAAGTGCGTTGCACCACATCGACTGCGCCGCAGGGATTGCCGCACATGGTTGCACCATGTACGTTGCACCGCATGTCTTATACCACTTATACTCTCCATGTGGATTCCATTGCCAAACACATAGATTGGTGAGGTGTTTAGTGAGAGCGTAAATTGGAAGAAGGTCTCAGCCCCTTCCGCACCCGCCCGCTTACTGAATGCAGTGTTCAATCATGCCCCTCGGTATCTAAAACAACATGCGTATCAGAGCATCTGGCGAACGTGCCAAACAAATCGACAATACCCAGCCATTAACGCCAGATTTATCCTTTCTGATTTTCTTACTCCATTTCCCGTGTATGGTTCGCGATGAATGCCAACCAGGCCGTGCTCGATCCCCCTTTCCATGCCGCGAACGCAGAAGTAATAATGCGTTGATATCCGTTTTGTGTTGCTTGCACAAGGTTGCGGGCATGTTCGTGCCCCGCCGCGCGTTCGCATGCCAACATCAGCTCGCTAAACCAAGCCCTAGATGTTCAAGCACAGGTTATGTTCAATTACGTTTTGGCTTTCTCTTAGTACACATTGCAGAGCATCTGCGCACCCTCAATTTGCTGAACTCTCAAGAAACAACCATTGTTGTTTTATATTCCATTTCATACCAGACAGTGCGGGCCACGCGCGCACATGTCGCCCACGTTCTGCAAACCCGCGAGCCCATCCATGCTGCTACGCATTGATATGTGGACCAAACGCGCGTATCCGCAAGCGCATGTCGAAATCCCTGCGAACTTAGAATCTACAGAGGCTTTCCAACACTTCCTGCATGTATGTGATCCGCATCATTCGAAACCGATTGGTCGATCAATCCACATACGCATAACATCATTAGGTCATGCGGTCGCGCAAGTCCTCCTCACCCTTATCAGCACAATCGCTATCACCATCGAAAGCGTCATCAATTCCATCGCCATCGTCAGCACCACCACCGTCGTCACCATCAGCGTCATCATTGACATAGTCATCACCATCATCATCATTTTCAGCATCGTCACCATCACCGCTGCCATCGGCGGCTGCCCATCAGTGTTGCTGCTCGGGTTCTTCGCTGTGCAAGTGTGTTTCGCTAGCGCGAGCGCCAAGTTCTCATCAACGCCCGTGTTTTGTTAAACCGCAGAGAGGGTAACAGACTTCCGTGAGGGCTTAGACGCAATGCTCAGCCCGCATTAGTGACTCATCCGTGCCTGGGAGTGAGAAGGAGTCATTATCAATAAGGCGGAAGGGTGGAGGAACATTTGAATGTGATGGGCGAACCCGGGAGGAGAGCGGTGGGATATAAAACATGGACGCCGAGTTGGTGTTGGGATGCGGAGGCGGGCGAAGAGGAGGATGAGACGAGGCGGAGAAGGAGGGGGAGGAGGAGAAATTCGCTTGAGGGCGCGGGGGAGGGCGAGGACGACTACGGGGGTCGGGCGGGTGGTGGTCAAGGGGGGTGGCCTAACATGCGGGGGGGGGGAAGACAAGGGCCCTAAAGGGGCCCTTTGGGGCCCTTCTTGCAGCTGCCCAATGAGGCCCTACAGGGCCCCTTGAGGATAATTTCCTTTGCCCCCTATTCAGGTCACCTCCCAATACCACCCGCCCGAGGCGATGGCGGGGGGTGGGGGACGGGTTTATGAGGATCGCCGCCGACGTGCGCACCTCGCCCTGTGCCTCGGGCACCTGGGTCGCGCAGAGGCCCTGGACTCGGCCATCGCCGTGCTGTCCAAGCACCACGCCAGCGCCTCGCTGATCGACAACGGGGAGGCCCGCAAAGCTGGAGGAGGAGGAAGAGGAGGAGGAGGAGGAGGAGGAGCATTATCGAGCTTTTTGGGCGTATCGAGAAGGAAGACGGGGAGGAGGAGGAGGAGGAGGATGATGATGATGCAAACCCGTGGAGACCAGGTCAAGCCTGGGCACGACCTAACACTCAAGCCTGGGGGAACTTGCCACCACTCTTGGGGGGAAGACCACGAGCCAACCTGGACAAGACCTCCCTCCCAGCCTTCGTGGGGGTACGATCAGTCTTACAGGGTTTGGCCAGGCTTTGCACATTGCGCCCACTGGCATGGGCACCACAGTGCTCGCAATACAGCACACCGCGGAACACATTCAACCTGTGATTGCCCGCGCACGAAGGATACAAGGGGTGCGCGAGCGGATCAGAGGAAAGGTGAGCGGGCCCGAGACAGGGACCAGGGCAGAAGTCCTGGACACGGCCCTTCAATTTGAACCGACGCACACAGATCTGGCAGCGGAGAGCCGTACCTTTCAAGGTCGGCTCATGACCCGCGCACCTCATTCTCCTAAGGCGGACCTGGAAGGCAGGGATAGGAGGGGGCCGAGGGGGAGGACGGCCAAGCCGATCAGAAACACGGCGGGGATTCTGCTCCACAACCTCCCGATGCACCGCCAGAAGGCGGTCAAGCGTGTGAGACGTGACACGATCAACAAACGCAGTCACATCAACTTGCTCGGGGGAGGGGGCCACACGTTCAGTGGCCCACCCCGCAAAGAAATCAGCACACCAATTCAGGAACAACTCCTCCCCCCCAATGGCGAATTGGGCTCTCTGGTGGGTCGTCGAGTGGCTCTTGGTCCACAGGACGCCGACAGAACCAGGACCACGAGCGTCCAAGGCCGATCAGATCCGAACCCACGGATCGAGCATCGAGCTGCCAGCGACAATCTGAGCTCGTGGCTGCCTTAGCCCTCCCACCAAGGGCAAATAATCAGAGTAGCACAATATATCACCCACAGTATGACTCAGAACCATGATAAATGCATAACGTTCAGCTCGGGGACTAGACTGCTCTAATGTAGGAAGACCACCACACATAATGGTATCCAGCTGCAACGGGAGACCATCTGTAACCCCAAGACTGACAATAACCCAACCGCAACGCCTCAATATCTTATCTCTGGCGTGAACCCCTCCAGAACCATCGAGGCCCCACACACCTCCAGGAACCCGGCGTTGAGCCCTCAGGGTGCCCCATGTCCAGGTACGAGCAGAGGGTGGAGGCAGGTGGCCACAAGATGCATCAAGGCAGGGTACCCCACGAGTAAAGAGAGCACTATGAGGGTCAGCAGCAAGGGCATCATGAACCAAATATTCACTATTCTCAATACTCGGATCAGTCAAGTACTGGTTACACGGACATCCCCAACAACGGTGCAGAGGTGTTTCCCGCGCGTCACCACATCGGGAACAACGGCCTGAGGTCAAATATCCACAGCCTTGCAGACGCGACTCGGGCCAGGAACCTCCGACAGCAATCGTAATCAAAAGGGCGGCGCCCTTAAAGTCGCCGTCGTCGAGCAACTTTTTGTGCTTGGCACGAAGCACAGTGAGGTCAGCACCTGTCTCTAAGCCTTGCCCGCAGAAGTGCTGAGCGGCCTTGGCCCAGACAATGGACGAGCAAGACTCACGGACAGCCGAGGTAAGATGGTACTTGAAATCTGCACCATTCAACCTAAGCGTGACACCAACACTTGCACGCCACTCATCAACATGTCGTGGTTCCCATCCTAGATCCAAAACAGTAACATACAGGGCTGCAATGGGACCTCGAACGAGACGCCAACGACTCGACTCCTGTGACTTACCGATCGTGTCGTGCAGGGCCTCCCAGACTCTCCGAACTCCAGACCGAAGACCTTCAGGAAGAGAAATCCAAACTTCCGAAATCAGGGCAAGTTGTTCAACACGGAGCCGATAAACAGGGTCATCTTTAGTATCATGCAACACCCGCAACACAGTGCTAACACAAGCCCCAGACGACCAACATCCAGAGCACGCAGCAGCCGAGGATCTGAACTGCCCAATAGCACCTGCAGGAAGCCCAAGGAGAGCATGGCCCCAGGTACCCACAGCTAAAATGCCTGGCTTGAAAACCTTACGAGAAGCACCACAAAGCTTGGCAAGGTAACTCAACTTCCTGGCACGACGGAAAGCGAGCGAGCGTCTCTGCTGGACCTTCCAGGTGGGTCGCCTTTTACTGGCAGTAGTGACAGATCCAAGATCCTTCACTCCATCGGCGAAAGAAATGGAGACTTCATATCTCCTGAACTCGTCCTGCAGGAGCCGCTGCAGCTCCACGGACGAGGCGACTGCAAGCGACTCAGAGTTGACAACGCACCCCAGCTCAGAGATATCATGCTGAAAATCGGCAGCGGCCTGGGGCAGGTAGCGGCAGATGAAAGCGACAGAGCCTTGCAGGTGCTGTGTGATGTCGTCAACATACGACCAAATTGGGACACAAACATGTGGGTGGTCCCCAGGTCCTCCAGGGATCCTATTATGAGCCTTCTCCAGGACCCCGTGCAGGTAGCACTTGACCCAGGGCATACTCTGACAACGACCCGCCAAGATGGACTCACCAGAGGCCAACACCTTCGAAAGGCTCCCAGACACTTCCAAAAGCCTCAGAGACGTGTGGATGAGGAGCCCCATGTACAACAGGTGGGCGGGGTAATCTTGATTCACCGCCAAGTGCAGAAGCTTGCTGGGGCTCACGGAGTCAAAGAACTTCTCGAGGTCCCAGTGGAGGGCACAGGAGTTGAACCCACAGGCACGGGCCACTTCATGGGCCAACCCACGAAATAGGGCAGCCTTCAAGGCCGACGAGCCCTTGACCGCAGAGTCCCAGAAGTCAATGTGGGCCTTGCTCCAATCATCGATGTCAAAGCCTCTGGCCTTGCAAAAGATCCTGTAGATGCTGGGGCACTTCGCGATTGCCCGCTCATCACATATAGACTTCGGCAGCAACGCCATGAGACAGACATAGCACTGAGGGGGAAAGCACCCATTCTCCTCCACAGAACGCAAGATGCCAGTGAACACTTCGAGAGAATCCACTGGAGCGTCCAAAAGAGCACGAGGGGACCACATATCAGCACCGAGAGCGGTCTTCGCCCTGAAGCAAGTACACGCACGAGCAACATCAGAAACTTCGAGCAAGGGGGTATCTTCCAGAGCGACTAAGGCTTGTGACCTAAGTTCGCCCATGCCCGCATTCAAACAAGACAGCTGCTGCGCGGAAGGAGTCCACCAAGACGACCACTTATCTTCACGATATCTCATCATATCTTTTGGGGTATTCACGATGCCTCCAGGAGTCTCCAAGTATTCAACCCAAACCTTTTCTTCAGCTTTCAGGAAACGATGAACAGGGCTAGCCCCCCGAGGTAACGACGACGTCAACCAGGTTTTCATGCTACTCCTAGTCTTGGCACGAGCAAGGGACCATGATTTAGCACAAACATCACCTGCAGCGTCGACAAGGTTTCGCAACGTACCTTCAGATCGTGGGGGGTTCTCAAGCATCTCCTTCCAACTCTCAGCGTCTTCTGGGCTGACGAGGGGCTCGATGTGAGCAAAGACGTCGGCCGCCAAGGCAGAGAGAACAGTGCGATGCTGGCGAGCAGCATCAGGGAAAGGTGACTTGCATGTGAGCCGCCATAACTCATACAGTCGGCTGGAAACGAGAGACCAAACGGACAAGTCAGGATTCCGAAAACTCTGCGCCTGCACATTGCGAGTCATCAGAGAACAGTCCTTTCGCTTCAGCATGGAACCGCGACCAAGATATCTGCGTGGATCAGAAACAAGAGCGCACGCGCGTGAAAGAGCTCGCAACTCCATAGCACGAGACCAAATAAGATACTGCATCCCAAGACTCCTAGACAAGAGCTCCTTCGAATGATCAGACATAGCCTCATAAAGGTCCTCAGGCATGACCAAGGGAGCCTCCAGGATGCCTTTGCCAGGGTCCCCCAAAGCTTTGGGCCGCCGACATATAAGTGAGCCAGTGATTGTCAGGGCCCAGGGCCTCAGGAACCTCCAGGGGCTTCACGCGAATACACTGGGGCTCCACCATGGCCTCGAGGTCCAAGATCACGTCCAAGCACGCGTGCGTCTTGAATGGGGACAGGAGGTCGGCATACACTTCGAGGTAAGGGAACAACAGGTGAGAGCACACGACGTAATCAATCATCGTTTCCCCAACCGAACAGGTAAACTCAACGTTGCCAGGGGCCAGGGTTCGAGCGGACATCAGTTCCAAGACTCCAGCATCCTCCAGGAAATCAACCGACATGTTAAAATCGCCCATCAGGAACCATGGGATATACAGACCCCGAACGAATTCAGCAACCGCACGCAGACGACAAGAGTTCACTCCAGAAACTCCAATGGATGGCACAAGGTAGATGACTCCAACAGCTACCGTACACGCCTTCAGACGCAATTCGAGAAAGAACCAACATTCTCCTGCACCCGCCTGCTTAGCCCCTCGCGCTTGGGCAAGAAACTTGCGAAAGCAGAGACGTGGCTGGACGACAGCAGCAACCCCATCCGTGAGTTCCCCCCCAAGGCGAGCCAAGAGCTTCCTGAAAGTAGGGTGACCACTTCATGTGGCGGCAATCCTTCTTGGCTCGAAAACATTCAGGCCCTCTGACATGGTGTTCAGCCATGAATATTCCATCAACCTCAGAAACCTTAGCTGCCAGAAAGTCCTGAGTGAGCTCCGACCACTGAGTTATATTCGCAAACTTAAAATGCACGTGCTTAGCGACAGCAGGAGAGATCAAGGACTTGAGCTCTCCTTGGTCGGGCATCAGCCGCCCGTGGGGCGGAGGGGCATTGCCAAACACGCGGCGGCACAGAAGATTGGGCGGCCCCAGAGGCAGCAGCCGCACATGCAGCAGCAGCGCCTCCAACGCCTCCCTGCCTGTCCATCTGGGTGGCCGCGACGGTGCAGAACGCGCGGCACATGTCGCAGGTGACGGCCTGGGAAGTGCGCGCACGCTTGACCGACTTAGCCATGAGCCTCTTCTGCAACAGATCGGTGTAGTCTTTGGCTGCGGCCGCGTCCAAGCCAGCCTCGCCTGCTCTCTTCTTGAGCTCACGGAACTTGTCACGTTCAACTTGGTCGAGCTCGTCTCCAACTGCACTGCCCAACTCAGACACATCGTCGGGCTGAGCGTCTCGCATGCGCTGTGGGTGGAGACGATGCTGTTGCCACTTCTCGAGCTGGGTGCCAGAGTAGCGGACCAGTAGCTCGAGCATGGAATCGTCGAACTCATGCAGGCGGGACTCCACGTAAACGAAGTCGACGAGACGGCCGCGTAGCCAAGGGATATTGCCAGGCGGGGGGGCGCAAACCCCGCCTGCAGCGCCTGGGCCGTCGGCAGGCTGGGGGCCGCCGTCGCCGCCAGGCGGGGGGGGCGCGAGCCCCGCCTGAAGCGTCGAGGCGGCCTGCGTCCGCGGCCGCCTGAGCCTGGCGCTCAGCTTCGCGCCGCTGCTCATCCATCTTGCTCTGCTTGAACCTCTCGACACTGAAAGCCAACTTCCTGGAGTCGGCCTCTCGCGTCTCACGGCGAGCCACCTCGAGGTTCTGCTCCGCCATGAGGTGATTATTCTGCATCTCCTCCATCGTAGCCTTTGCACGGTTGAAACGGTCCAACCTCCATTGCACCTCCTGGGCAGCCAATCTCTCGTTCTTGGATGCGGCCTCCACTTCTCGAGCAAGCCTCGTCTGCTCGAGCGCGGCCATCTGATCCAGCTCACAAGCCGTGAACAGACGGACCTCTGGAGGCGCAGGCGGGGCAGCATCGCGAGCCACCCCTGCGAGGGCAGGGTAGTGAACAGCCCAGCGCTCCAACTCCTGCACAAGGTGGGGCGGCATCGGGACAGTAGCGGCGCCAGGGGCAGAAGCAGCACCGAGTCCGCCTCCGCCAGGACCACCCTGATGGGCCTGATCGCCATGCCCAGGACGAGAACCATCAAGGTATTGGCCACCGCACAGACTGCAAGCGCGGTGTCCATGACGAGAGTACTCCCAGTGCGTGCAGAGAGAACAGACCTTGTACGTGTTGTCTTTTGACTTGACCTTCTTCTTGCCACGGGGCCCCGTCTGAGGACCGCCAGCACTCTCAGGCTGCCAAACCCAAGAGCCTTTCCCTTCGCCACCAGCGGTGCGCCACGGCGCACTCCGACGCCACGCCATGGCAGGACAGGAATGGAGGCTAGCGAACCCCTGTCCCCAGGGCAGACTGGGGAAGGGACCTCCGTGAAGGATGAAGACTGCCGCGGACTAGCGGTATCCAGTTTGGCCCATGCGGGCTCAGCCCGCAAAAGCATCAGCCTTGAGCCAAAATGGCTACGGAGGAGGAGGAGGAGGAGGAGGAGGAGGCGGAGAGGGAGGGAGTGGATAAGAGAGGAGAAGCCAGAGGAGGAGAAGGAGGAGGTGGGGGTAGGCCGTGCTGGACACCCAGGTTGCCGAAGCTCTCAGGCAGTAGGGATGGATGGGTGGGGGGGGCGGGAAAACAACATATCTTTCTTGAGTGCAGGGGCCACTTTTGTCCTGCAGTTCGCACTCAGCCATGGCGACGCTTCGAGCACCGCCCATAATGCCGCAACATGTGACACCTCCCGCGCCTAATCCTGTCATGGGCTCCTCTGGAGCCCTCGTGAGACCCTCTTGGGGTCCCTGGGGCCCGCTGGGGTCATCTTGGGGCTTTATTGTGCCGTCTTGTTACTGTGTTGTGCACCTCTCGCTCGTCTGGGTGCCTGTGGGGGCCGTCCCGGGAGCCTCGAGGAGCCTCCTTTGGTCAACTTGGGGCACCCCTCTGGGCTGTCCTGGGCCAGTGGGCTCTTTTTGCCCCTCGTTGGCTCCTCCGAGGCCTGGATCCGAGGGGCCCAGGAAGCGCACCATGTTGAACGTCTGATGATCTCGATCTGTCCTTGAGTGACTTGGGCGTTCGTTCATGGCCTCTTGGCACTATCTGAGGTATATCATTTTGAAGAGGAAAGGTACTGCTACCGCTACCCCTTCGCCCGTTTCCCCCGTTTTGGGCCTCCTTGGAGGCCCTTGTCGCCACCGCTGGAATCGCCTCGAAGTCCTTGTCAGGACGCGTCCAGGGAGAGGTCTGGGGAGTAGCAGTATCATTACCTTATGGTTTCCCCAAATCGGGCCTTCGTTCGTGGCCTCTTGGCATTAGTTTTCGTGTATTGGGGTCATCTTGGGGCCTGGTTGGCGCCCCCTGAGGTCCCCCCCGGGGCTGTGGGTGCCTATTGAGGAAAAATTGGGTGGGAGACACAGTTTGAAAAGGACCCGCCTTATCCTTGAAACTGTTGCAAAGTCCAAGATTCAGGATCATAATTGGTGAGACAGTCTCAGGCGAAGCGCCCGGCCCACCCTACTGACACGCTTGGGGGTGCGACAGGGAGGAGTCATTTTTGTCGGAAAAAGGATTGGGTTAGGAGGAGGAGGAGGAGGCGGTCAATGACAGGAAGGACGATGCGGGTGAGAACGATATGAGGAGCTGTCCTAAGGAGCACGACGAGGCGAGCGAGGGGGATGTGGAGGAGGAGGAGGAGGAGGAGGAGGAGGAGGAGGAAGGGGATGAGGAGAAGGAGGAGGAGGAGGAGGAGGAGGAGGAGGAGGGGGGGGCGGATGATCAGAGTGAGGAGGATGTGGAGGATTCGAGGTTTTTCTCCCACTGATACTTTAAACGAGTTGCGATCATAAAACATATCATGATGTCCGCCTGGGCCCCCGTCGGACGAGCGGAAATGCGAGCGCAGTGGCGCGCGCGGTCGCGCGCGACCCACCGCTCGTAATCACGCGAATGCGTGGGCGTCGCGGCGACGACAACGCGACGGCGACGACGACGGCGGCGCCTGCGCCGACGGTGGCGACGGCGGCGGCAACGGCGACGGCGGCGACGACGAACATCGCGGCGACGGCGGCGACGGGGCCCGGGCCCACGGGCGAACTTGTGCCCCGCCCTCGCTCCTGGAGTCCGGGGCCAGATTTTATGGGATGAGCGAGGATTCTTCGCGCAATTTACCCCAGCCGTTATTCCGCTTCACTACATGTTTTCTTTTCGTTTTCGTAAAACGTCGTTTTTCCTGAATGTATCGAGCGGCGCGCCTTTCCTGAAGTCGCTTCCTCGCTTTAGTGAAGCCGTCTTTTCGCTTTAGTGATGCCGCTCCCTCGCTTTAGTAAAGCCGTTTCCTCGTTTAGGAAGGTCCGCGGTCTGACTTAATACAGCCCTGGGGATGCGGTGGTGATGCGGAGCTAGGGCCTGGTCGGGGGGCGGGGGGGCCCTGTTTTCCAGCCGGTTCTTCCCGCGACGCACTTGCTCGGGTGATCCGGGTCTCGTTACATCGGGTCGCGGCGACGTTTGGACATGTTTTCAGCGAGTGGAGATGCTCCTTGACAGAAGATTCAGGGCGCGAGCGCAGGACGTGGCTCAGCAATTCGGACGCGCCGCGGCGGTTGTCGCGCAACACAGAAACCACATTTTTTTTGTTAAGGCTTGTTTCCTTTCAACAAACAGCTCCTTCGAAGTAAAGGTGTAAGGAGGAGGAGGAGGAGGAAAAGGAGGAGGAGGAAGAGGAGGAGAAGGAGGAGGAGGAGGCGCATGAGTGAGGAGTGGCCGTAGTGAGGAGGGGCAGGCCGCGCTGGACGCCCAGGTCGCCCAAGCCCTCAAGCTGGCGCGCTCGATGATGCAGAGGCGCCGCCACCCGCGCCCAGGAGAGAGAGGAGACGGCCAGGCCTGCAGGAGGGAGGGATTCCGGCTACGCGCGAGTCTCGACATCTCAGAC